CCGCCCGTAGGAAGAGAGTTTAACCGTGCAGTCAGTTCAGAGGTGAACGACTCACTGAAGTGGCATATTGACGATATTCAGTCACCCCCACGAGGGTGTCATGTGGCACAAGGCCTTTTAACGTGGGCATTCTGGAGCCATTAGGCTCGGCCAAACAGCCCATTTGAACCCGTATAAACAGGTTCAGGCCCGGTTTTACCTCCCGAAGGAGACTCCGCCCTTCGGCGTAGCCTCCTTCTGGTTCCTCCCGCCCGTAGGACGAGTTTAACCGTGCAGTCAGTTCAGAGGTGAACGACTGACTGAAGTGGCATATTGACAATATTCAGTCACCCCCCCACGAGGGTGTCATGTGGCACAAGGCCTTTTTAACGTGGGCATTCCCGAGCCATTAGGCCCGGCCAAAAAATAGCCCATTTGAACCCGCATAAACGGGTTCAGGGCCGGTTTAACCTCCCCGAAGGAGACTCCGCCCTTCGGCGTAGCCTCCTTCGGGTTCCTCCCGCCCGTAGGAAGAGAGTTTAACCGTGCAGTCAGTTCAGAGGTGAACGACTGACTGAAGTGGCATATTGACAATATTCAGTCACCCCCCACGAGGGTGTCATGTGGCACAAGGCCTTTTTAACGTGGGCATTCCCGAGCCATTATTAGGGCCAAAAATAGCCCATTTGAACCCGCATAAACGGGTTCAGGGCCGGTTTAACCTCCCCGAAGGAGACTCCGCCCTTCGGCGTAGCCTCCTTCGGGTTCCTCCCGCCCGTAGGAAGAGAGTTTAACCGTGCAGTCAGTTCAGAGGTGAACGACTGACTGAAGTGGCATATTGACAATATTCAGTCACCCCCCCACGAGGGTGTCATGTGGCACAAGGCCTTTTTAACGTGGGAATTCCCGAGCCATTAGGCCCGGCCAAAAAATAGCCCATTCGAACCCGTATAAACGGGTTCTAGGCCGGTTTAACCTCCCCGAAGGAGACTCCGCCCTTCGGCGTAGCCTCCTTCGGGTTCCTCTCGCCCGTAGGAAGAGAGTTGAACCGTGCAGTCAGTTCAGAGGTGAACGACTGACTGAAGTGGCATATTGACAATATTCAGTCACCCCCCACGAGGGTGTCATGTGGCACAAGGCCTTTTTTAACGCGGGCATTCCCGAGCCATTAGGCTCGGCCAAAAAATAGCCCATTTGAACCCGTATAAACGGGTTCAGGGCCGGTTTTACCTCCCCGAAGGAGACTCCGCCCTTCGGCGTAGCCTCCTTCGGGTTCCTCTCGCCCGTAGGGAAGAGAGTACAACCGTGCAGTCAGTTCAGAGGTGAACAACTGACTGAAGTGGCATATTGACTATATTTAGTCGTCCCCCACGAGGGCGTCATGTGGGCACACAGCCTTTTTAACGTGGGCTTTCCGAGCCATTAGGCTCGGCCAAATGCCTAACCCATTTGAACCCGTATAAACGGGTTCTGGGCCGTTTTACCTCCCCGAAGGAGACTCCGCCCTTCGGCGTAGCCTCCTTCGGGTTCCTCTCGCCCGTAGGAAGAGAGTACAACCGTGCAGTCAGTTCAGAGGTGAACAACTGACTGAAGTGGCATATTGACTATATTTAGTCGTCCCCCCACGAGGGCGTCATGTGGCACACAGCCTTTTTAACGTGGGCTTTCCGAGCCATTAGGCTCGGCCAAAAAATAGCCCATTTGAACCCGTATAAACGGGTTCTGGGCCGGTTTTACCTCCCCGAAGGAGACTCCGCCCTTCGGCGTAGCCTCCTTCGGGTTCCTCTCGCCCGTAGGAAGAGAGTACAACCGTGCAGTCAGTTCAGAGGTGAACAACTGACTGAAGTGGCATATTGACTATATTTAGTCGTCCCCCACGAGGGCGTCATGTGGCACACAGCCTTTTTTAACGTGGGCTTTCCGAGCCATTAGGCTCGGCCAAAAAAATAGCCCATTTGAACCCGTATAAACGGGTTCTGGGCCATTTACCTCCCGAAGGAGACTCCGCCCTTCGGCGTAGCCTCCTTCGGGTTCCTCGCCCGTAGGAAGAGAGTACAACCGTGCAGTCAGTTCAGAGGTGAACAACTGACTGAAGTGGCATATTGACTATATTTAGTCGTCCCCCACGAGGGCGTCATGTGGCACACAGCCTTTTTAACGTGGGCTTTCCGAGCCATTAGGCTCGGCAAAAAAAAATAGAACCCATTTGAACCCGTATAAACGGGTTCTGGGCCGGTTTTACCTCCCCGAAGGAGACTCCGCCCTTCGGCGTAGCCTCCTTCGGGTTCCTCTCGCCCGTAGGAAGAGAGTACAACCGTGCAGTCAGTTCAGAGGTGAACAACTGACTGAAGTGGCATATTGACCCCCACTTACAATAGTTTCCAACATATTTATGAGGATTGGGACATACCCATTAGTGTTCATAGGTATGGTATATAATTGTTTGTAGGATGCTAACTGTAGTATCAGTTGAACGACCTTTATCTCAGTCTGGTATTCTTTACAAGCCGATCCGTCATTAGTACCAGAATGTGACTTTCAAACAAGAATTTGTAGGAAGTGACGTCATTACGGAAGTACCTAAAACACTTTTGCAAAAGAACTGCTGACAGTAGAAAAAGAACGGAACGTATGTGAATCTATGTTAGTAACAATATGAAATGAAGTTGACGTTATGAAGATTAAAAATGGAAAATATGCTATGAAGGAGATGATATTAAGAGATAAACAATATAGAAACATATAGAAAGAAGATGCGAGAAAAAGAAAGAAAGAAGAAAAGAGAACGAAAGAAAGAAAAGAGTGGAAAAGAAAGATAAGAGAAAAAGAACACGAAAACAAACGAAGAAAGAAAAGCTGAGAGTATAACGGAAGAAAAGCGAAAGAAAGAATGAAAGTTAAAAAGGGGTAGAAAGAAAGAACGAATGAATGATGGAAGTAAAAGAAGGGGAAAAGAAAGAAACAAACAAACAATAAGACAGAAGAGGAAAGAAAGAAAGAAAAAAGAAAGAAAAAGACGAGAGAATAAAATAACTAGAAAACAAGAGAAGAAGGAAAAGATGGAAGTAAAAAGTGAGAAAATAGAAAGAAAGCATGAAATATGAAAGAGATAAAAAAAGAATGAAAGTAAGAAAGGAAATTAACTCCGAAAGAAAAAAGGAAAAAGTAAAAGAAAGAAAGAGGAAAGAAAAAGATGCGACAAAAGGCAGAAAACAACGAAAGAAAGACAGTAAAAAGAAAGAAAGAAAGAAAGGAAAAAAGGAAAAACAACGATGAAACAAAAGAGGAAAGAGAGAGAGAGAGAGAGAGAGAATGAAAAGGAGAGAGAGAATAAATTTGGCTGCGCTCATTTGCGAATGCCTTCTTTGTCAGACGAAGTTAAATGATTTCTAGACAATTACTGTTTGCTTATTCCCTCTTGCACGGGTAAGGATACAGAGTTTGGAAGCAGACAGGTATACACTCAGGACAGATTTGGACGATTTGAGCAATATAATCTTTTCTTCTCCTTCATCTGCGATTAACTCAATTGGGAAAATAATCGATGAAACAAAAATAGTAAAAAGAAGAAAGAATGAAAGAAAGAAGAAAAACAAGCGAAACATAGAAATTTGAAAAGAAAGAAAGAAAGAAACAGCTCAAAAGAAGAAAGAATGAAATAAAGAGAGGCAGAAAGAAAGAATATATAAAAAGAAAAAAAGAAAGACGTTCCTGGAGAAAGACATCCACAGGCGATGAGAGACGGGCGGTACAGAAATCAGTGGAGAATGACACCAACAGCCGAGGAGAAAGGAGTGATACAGAAATTGTGGCGAGAGCTACCAGCAAACGAGGAGAGACGGACGGTACAGAAATTGGAGGAGATCAACATCAACAGACGAGGAGAGACAGGCGGTAAAAAAAATCGGGGAGAACGACAAAGAAACGGGCGGTACAGAAATCAGCGGCGAAAAGAGCCAACAGACGAGGTGAGACGGGCGGTACATAATTCGGTTGAGACCGACACAAACAAGCGAAAAGAGACGGGCGCTACATAAATCAGAGAACAAGACATCAATAGACGAGTAGAGACGGACGGTACAGAAATCGGGGACAAAGACAGTAGCAGACGAGGAGAATAGAGTGGTACAGAAATCGAGGGAAAGCAACACAAACTAACAAGTAGAGACGTGCGGTACAAAATCGGCAGAGAACGACACAAGCAAAGGGAGAGTAGCGGGCGGTACAAAAGTAGGTTAGAAAGACATCAACAGACGAGGTGAAACGGGCGGTACAGAAACTGGGGGAGTACGACACACGCAAACGAGGAGAAACGGGCGGTACAAAAATCGGTCAGAAAGACATCGACAGACGAGAATAAAGGGGCGGTAAAGAAACTGGGGGAGTACGACACACGCAAACGAGGAGAAACGGGCGGTACAAAAATCGGTCAGAAAGACATCAACAGACGAGGATAAAGGGGCGGTAAAGAAACAGGGGGAGAACGACATAAACAATCGAGGAGAAACGGGCGGTACAAAAATCGGTTAGAATGACCTCAACTGACGAGGTTAAAGGGGCGGTACAGAAACAGGGGAGAACGACATAAGCAAACGAGGAGAAACGGGCGGTACAAAAATCGGTTAGAAAGACATCAGCAGACGATGTGAAACGGGCGGTACAGAAACAGAGGGAGAACGACACAATCAAGCGAGGAGAAACGGGCGGTACAAAAGTCAGTTAGAAAGCCATCAACAGACGAGATGAAACGGGTGGTACAGAAACAGGGGAAGAAGCACACAATGCAACGAGCAGAAGCGTGCCGTACAAAAATCGGCTAGAAAGACATCAGCAGGCGATGTGAAACGGGTGGTACAGATACAGGGAGAGAACGACACAAGACAACGTGGAGAAACAGGCCGTACTAAAATTGGTCAGAAAGGCATCAACAGACGAGGTTAAAGGGGCGGTACAGAAACCGGGGGAGAACGACACAAGGAAACGAGGAGAAACGGGCGGTACAAAAATCTGTCAGAAAGACATCAACAGGCGAGATGAAACGGGCGGTACAGAAACCGAGGGAAAAGGACACAATCAAGCGAGGAGAAACGGGCGGTACAAAAATTGGTTAGAAAGACATCAACAGACGAGGTGAAACGGGCGGTACAGAAACCGGGGGAGAACGACAAAATCAAACGAGGGAGAAACGGGCAGACACGGGGAAAAATCGGCGAGGAGAAACGGGCGGTACAAAAATCGGCTAGAAAGACATCAGCAGGCAATGTGAAACGGGCGGTACAGTAATTGAGAGGAAAAGACACTAATCAAAGTAGAGAGACCGGCGGTAAAAAAATCCTAAGAGAAAGAGGGAAGACAAATGGTATGATAAAGAAAGTGCAAAAATGTTAATAACGGATGATACATAATGGGCATAAAATGAAATTGCATAAAATGATGAGAAAAAACACGTGGCCTAAATGGAGAGATAAAATGAAATAAGGGTAATATTGGGTAAATAAGGAAGAGAAACAGGTTGCAGAAATGAGGGCGGATGAGAGTCGTCCACAGGATGATTCTACAATGGACAATAAGGACATCGCATATGACGCAAATCGGAAAGACAATGACACATCGTGATAAATATGTCGGGAATTAACTTTACGGAATAGTTAAAGAAAGTTAAATTGAAAATGTTCGACGAAAAATAAACGAAACTCAATAAACCGACGCCTTTTATGAAAAGTCAGAAAAAAAAACTTTAATATAGCGTTGAGATGAATACCATATGAAAGGTACTAAAATGTTGTTTTAATCAGTTGACCCCAAGAATGTCAATAAAGCCACTAAGACGCAAAATGGTGTTACTGAGTGTTAGTTAATATGAGAAAGACTATTAAGGAGAGAGGACAATAAAAGAAGAAGAATTAAGAAGACAAAAGACAACGATTGACATTGCACATAATTTTTTTAAAATCAAATTTACTTGGGAAACAAGAATCCAAAAGAGAGATCCACAATCGAGATGTGCAAGAAATGAAGCTGTTACATAAAACTTACGGTTACATCTCGACATTTAAGCTTACCGTCAATCTTCCGCCCTGTAAAAAAGCGGTAAATTCAGAAAGACGTTATAAACCGTTGAAAACTGGTGACGACTGATTTGATTTCTGCACATTTGCTCAATCGACGGATGTTCTTTGAAAAGGACGATAACTTGACGTTCAAAATCGGTGAGTTGTTTAGCCATCCGAGAAGGGAAGAACAAAAAACGAAAGTTGTCTGCAAACAACCTCTAAATGACAAGTCACAAGATCGATCAGCAATTAATTAATCATAAAGCAGCCATTTAAATTCATTAAATCTAGGTATTTGTTATATAGAAATAGTGTTGCTGCCAACACTTGAGTTTGAATATAGATTGCCAGTGCGCAAACAGGCGATACCATTATTGAATTAAGTAGACCACGTGACCATAGAAGAAACGCATATATAGGAAGTGGCCTAACGTTCAACAGATATCTATTCCTAGTCCATCGTCTATTACTATTCGGATCTTTATTTCTAGTCTATCCTCTATTAGTATACGCACCGGTATTCTCTACTCTATTCTCTAGACTATTTCTCTATTCAGATCACTATACGGTGATTACTATTCGAGCGAGTATTATCGAGCAAGTATTATTGGTGTGAGTGATATTCGAAGGCGTCTGACACCAGTGTTGTTCAACGGCGTTACTATAGTTGTGTCTGCGATTACAAAGTCTCTACTACAACGAGCATTTGCGAAAGTGACAATGAGTATTCGTTAACATGACAAAAGTGGCAACGAGTGATCGTTAGCATCAGAAAAATAACATAGAGGAAACTTCATCAGAACAATTACCATGAAAGTATTTTTAGAAAAGGCAGAGAGAAATTACATCATGGCGGTAGGAAAGGGACTGTAGCCGAGATGCCAGATCAGGTTCAATAACCATGCATGCGGGGATAACAAACCAGATGTGGTAGCAATATTCAAAGCAAGAACAGATGGTAGACTTATATATATGTATGTTTCTAGCGAGAAAGATTGCCAAGCACGACATAGGGAAACAAAGTTCTTTCCTACAGACTTAGCAACTGATGCAATATAATCTTTCCAGTTCATATAGAAAAAGAAGCAATTGAATAAAATGTTGAAGAAGTTAACACCTATTTTATTATACAATTAATCCTATTCATTTCCAAGTGTGTGAGGTCGCCCGATACCTGTGTGTTTCCGGGGTGTTAAACTTTGTGCGTCTAACCTTCTTGCCTTTTGGGTAAATCAAATCATATATTTAGTGAAATCATCTTTTGGCCTTAAAGCAAGAAGCAAGAAGTAAACAGCAAAGCCGGAGATGGGGTAAGAAAGAGGAGAGAATTTCTCTTAACTCTCTGCTGCCGGTACCTGTTTAGATTGATGAGTTTTTTTTTTCTTTAACAAGTACTTAGAGCCGCCATCTTTAAGAATGAGAGACAAAATTTTCGCTTTGGAGAATTTTAAATTGGAATAAAGCCAGAAATCGTTTTTGTTTATCTCCTTTTTTTAACGCGAAAACATGTCTGAACAAACATTGATGGATTTAAAGTGGCTAAGCACAAAAAAGGAGGAAAATACTCATTGCTATGAAGATATTTAAATATATAAAATAAAAAAAAATCCATCTTTCCCTAAAAGTTCCCTTGAGCAAAAATAGGTGACCAAACAAAGGGATTAGGAATTGAAATGTTGCATAGACCAAAACACCTGACCAAGAAAGAGCCTGCAGAATCATAGCATTCAATGTTAAACAAATAGATATATATATCAACTGTATAGGAACAGTATATTTGGTGTTTTTGTTCTGTTACTACGAATACTGTGCCTTCACCACAGTTGAATCTGACAGTTCTTTCAAGAGATTAATGAACAGCAGTCTCTTCTCGTTCGAAGAGCTGGTTCTTTTAATGTTCCTTAATTTCGATTCTGCTTCCGATTTCCAATTTTTACAAACCATTTGCCAGTCTCTAGACGAAGAGCTCCACGTAACTCACAAATGATGAGTGACACCGTCTTCGTGATATTCAACATTTTTTCTAATTTTTTCATATGGCCTCGGTCATTTTCAATTATTCCACTCCGTCTAAAATGATACCTTGTGATCTGGTAAATTATCAGATTATATGTCGAATTTATTTTGCATTATTCGAAATCAATAAATGTTATACCCTGACTTGCATTAATATTTTCGAATTTCAAACTAATAGTGAAATTTCTGTCAGTATTTCAGAGATCCGGTACCGTAATTATTGAAATTATTGAAATTGTTCGGACTGTAGTCATCATCTTTGTTGTCATATTTTCGACGTTTCTGCCGTTGTACTACCGGGAATTCGTCAGGAGACTGGAATTTAGAAACGAACTCTTTATTTCGTCCATCGATTTTCTAGTTCCAAGTGCTATGACTCTCCCGGTTCCAATTATTTCCCTTTTTAACACATTTCTCAGAGCTTTTGTTCACCTCTGCTGTGTCCGGGTATTGAACTCAGAACTCATTGGCTCAAGACTCTGGGTTATTTCAACCAACGATTTTAGCCACTGGTTCATGTGTCTTTTTCAGATGATTGGAATTTCGTATTGATTCATCTATTTCGTCCACCGGGGTAAATTGTTCTAGTTCCACATGCCATGTCCCTTCCAGATAACTCAGTATCAGTTATCTCCCTTTAACTAAACTCTACGAGTTTTTTTTTGCGGCCAGGTATTGAACTGACAAATGGCGCAGTGGATAAAAGATTTGTTTGAATCCAAAATAATTGTGAGTTCAATAAATAAAAGTAACTGAAAACTAAGATATCCGGAAGAGGCATGGCACGTGGAACTAAAATAATCGGTTCGAAATTCCAATCACCTGAATAAGTCCGGAGCGTTCAACAGCCGAAACGTCCTGAATATGTCAACAAAGATGAGGACATCAGTCCAAACAATGTAAATAGTATAAAGAATGAAATTTGTTTCATATTCTCTAGAATAATTTTCCTTTCAGGTTATACGGCTACTTTGTCGTTTCATAATTTCTAGTGATTAGATTTCCTAACCAATTTTCACTCTTTTTATTCTTCCTGAATGAACTTTTGCTGTATCTGGTATTTAAACAGTTTTATATTCAATGCTATACAAGGTTGGAAATAAATTCCTGTCGCAATTTCGACATGATCTCTTTAAGGGTATTTTTCAATACCTACGCTAACATAACCATAAATTCTATATTCTAAAGTGTTCACATTTTTTTTACATTAATTATATCAAAGTGGAACAGTTTGTTTTGATTTTACCATTTTAAAATGAATTTGGAACACATCCGTATCAGAGCGTATATACTTTATGAATTTAAAAAGAGCTCTTCAGCAAGAGGATCGACATGTGGTACCTGAATAAAGTTCTGTCGAACACGAGAAGTAAATCTACTTCTTTTTCTTACACAAGAGGCCTGATTTTCAGTATTACAACACTGTTCGAGGTCTGGTCTTCAGAAGTGAGTGTCGGAATACAATGCTGATGATTGGCGTTTATTTATAGACAGCTACAAACGAAGCTGTAAAAATGTTTTACAGCAAATTGGAAACCGAAATGAAAACATCCGATTTGGCCATTCGACAAGAAGAATCACGAGATCATCAAACAAGTATTGAGTAAATTGTCTTGTAACGTACATCAACGGTTTATAGGTTTATACATTAAATTCATCAGCTATTTTCATTGGACTGCAATCGAAATACACTAATTATCATTTTCTTTAGATATTTAACGGACAGCCAAGAAAAGAGAGAGGAAAGCATGGCTCTTGAGATATATTTCTGATATAATTCAACACAAGGTCATTCATGAAAAGCGTCTTGATAGAAATAAGGTCATTTTCCTTCGTTACGTATTAAATTAGTGCTAAAGAAACAGGACATTAAGCTTTGGAACAACATGGACATTGTTTCCGATATGGTTGCTGAAAATTCCCAACACTGCCAATTAGAACATTCAGTCTGGAATATCTGATCGATTCCAGGTTCCATTAAAGAACGATAATTAAACTTCATTGAATTATATTAAAGCAGGTTCAATAAGCTAAGAGATTTCTGGGAAGCCATAAAGTAGAAAAATGTTTGAGCCTATTCAGCTACGTGTTGAATCTTTTATCCAGTCCTCAGGGTAAAGACGACTAAAAAATCATTACATAGTAACTTAGTCAACTTCACTGAAAATTATGGCGACTACAGAGTCGATATTAATTTGATGAAGGAAAAGTATCAATAGAAGCTAGGGTCAACAAATGATTACAGACTACAAATTGACCAGAGGTGATTTTCTGAAATTTAAGCAAATAGAACAATTATGGAAAAAAATTTACCTTTCAAATCACAAATTTTGAGTAGTCAAAAAATAAATAAAATATCTACCATTGGATATTTCTATTGATTATCCGTATTATTGTGTAAATTCCTTGATTTTATACTTTGTATTTTTTGCTTGTTTTTAATATTTTAATCCCAGGCAAGGCGGAAAGTCCACTAGTAGGCCTAGGGTTACAGGGAATGAAAATCA